GGGAAGGTACACAGAGAAACTCGAAAGTCAGAGTGACTTGAGCCCAATACTGCTCAGAGACATGAAGGAGCATGAAGTGTCAGGCAATGCCCGAGGGCACTCAGAAGCATGGTTATTTGTTTAATTTTTAAATTAATAAATTTATTTATTTGTTTATAGCCTGGCCTGGTTTCCCCTCTCTCCTCTCCTCCCAGTCTCTCCCCCAACACCCTCTGTTCCCCAATCCACTCCTCCTTCATTTGTTTTAGGAGAGGGGCAGGTCTGCCACACAAGTATCAACAAAACTTTTTAAAAATCCCGGTGCGAATGTTAACGGGAGATAATTTTTAGTTTCCTATCAAATGGACTCTTGAAAGCCAAATAACAGTTGTTGAAAGGTGCATTCAAACAAGAGAGCCTTGGAAACACTTAAATCGAAACCTCTCTGTGCTGTCTTTACCATAGACATAAGAAGTGCTCCAAGTATATGACAGTATGCCCGAGTACCTGCCTTTCTTTCTGTGTTTTATGCACAGGCAGAATCCCCTGGAGTGATGGAATGGTGTTCATTAAGGCTGCTCAGCCTGAAGCTGGCAGAGGCTCAGAAAAGAAATAATAGAGTTCCTAACAGCAGAGCCTGTTGATATGGAGAGGAGATTTGGATGATGCCAAGAGGAAGACTTCAAGTAGGAGGCTGAGTGGAAAAGCGAGGGGCTGTAGCTCCAGCTCGGTAGGGCGGGTAAGTGTGAATTAGAGTGTGGCTTGCATTTTCCTCCCAATTAAGTGCTTACTATTATGAGAGCTAAAAACTCTTCAAAATGAATAAATGGGTTAAACAGAATGGGGATTACCATTAAGTAGAGCATTCTAACTTTGCCTCAGATCATGGGAATTCTGCAAAATCACAAAGGAGAGAATTAGCTGAACCAAACAGTTTAATTTAATGGGAAATTTATTTTAGAAGAGAAGCTGAGGAAAATTCCTAGAGTGAAGTAATGGCGTTTAGAATTAGCGGCATTTGTGTACAGAGTGATGGCATAGATAAAGTTAAGTAATAGGAATGTTCAAAAAGACTTAGAAAAATCCGCTATGGTGACCTCAGGCACTTTATAAAGAGGAACAAAGAAAAATGTAAGCGCTTCGTAGGAAATAACTAGATAGTAGAATTTGACCTAAATTATATCAAAACATTACTTACACATGCTGCCTGCCTGCCAGTAGAGGAACTCATACAGAAGTGAATATACACAAATATACACATGCAGACACAGACACACACACACACACACACACACACACACACACACACTTTCCTACCTCAGAAATCACCCCAAGACCATTCCTTTTTTCCTTTTTTAGTATAATTAAAACGTACAATGTTGCTCATTACTGCTATGGATTTGTATGTATTATGGATTGCATAGAAAAATTAATATTAACTAAAACTTCAATGTATATTTCATGAAGTCAAAGAAATGGTGATTATTAAAACACACTATTAGAAAGTACAGCTTCAAATTATACCCCACACCAAACATAAGGGGAAAAAACCAAATTCTCATCCCATTATCTCAGAAAGAGACTTTTTTTAAAGTTTGAAATGTAAAATATATCCCAGGAATTAAATTATACATCAAAATATTTTCTCAGAATATAAGTATCTTTAAGCATTTTAATGAACCTCTTTTTTTTTAAATACCCATAAAATAGAAACTTTCCAATTATAAAATTTCTTCAGAAAACCTCTATTGTGCTTTTAATTCTGTTAATTTGATTTAAGGATTTTGTTTTGTTTTGTTTTGTTTTACAAGCTTAAATGGCTAAAGCTGTCTCTCTCTTTTTCATTTAAATTTCATAAGAAAGAGATTCACAAGGCACATTCCCTCACTAGACTCTGTGTGGCCTATTTATTCAAAATGCTTCATTCCATATGGATTTCTTCTCTTTTATTTATTACATCCAGGAAGGATTTTTCTCTAATAAGTTAGCAACTCGGGGGCAGCAGATTTGAACTGCAAGCCTTCAAATCACAGTACTACACCTGCCACCTGCCACTATCTTCTAGAAGCACCAAAGAAAACAGAAAAGCTCAAACTTCCATGGGTCACAGGCGCCAACTCTGTGTGAGCCACAAGCAGGTGGTCCATAGAGGTCAAAGTTAAAGTTCATGGAATAATTTAGAAACAGGTCTCAGCTTTGATCTCATTTGCGAAGACTGAGAATGCACCCTGTAATTAGAATGCGGTTTCCAAAGCAGCCACTCCCTTGACTTTCCTGGGCTAAATTTCATTCTCAGCAAAGAAAAGTAAAAACAGCCTCTTCACAATGCCAGATAACAGTCTGTTATAAATAAAGCCTTAAATATCCAATAAGGAAGACAGCAGGCGTCCTGGACAATGGGGACAACATGTGAGCCATCAGGAGCCACTGTCGAGAACTGATAAAACTCAGTCGGATTCAACAGTTACTCCCTGCGCCTGTAACTTCTGTAGCTAAGTTATCCCATGGAAGATGGGAAAAAACGAGTGGGTTGTGATTTGAAACGGTTCCCACACCCCAGTCCTGCTCTTTTCTTTCTGATGACCTCTCCATCCATCAACCCGAGCACCTCAGTGGGATCTCTCACATCAGTTCTGTGCAGCCAGCTGTCCTGTTCTTCCACGGTGCTCAGGGAGCCACACAGGACTCCTGGAACAGGACTGAGCCAGAGCTGACTCACCGCAGCCATTCCCTTCCAGCCCCTTGGTGTTCTGAGCCACAGTCTCCTTTCCCAAGGCCTATTGTTATTACAAAAGTCCTGCTGAGTCTCCAAATGTGCTGAAAGGTAAAGCAAGAAGAAAACACCCTTCTCCCCCAACGTGGGAGGCAGACTTTGAACTAGGCAGAAATGGCTGAGGACTCTTTTGTGGAAGGCCAAGAAACAAAGGCAGACAGGCAGCTACATGAACTTCAGAATCAGCATGGACTAGCAGATGCTACCACAATAGCAAACTTTTCCATGCTGCCTACAATGGAATGGTGTTTAAATTGCTATGCCTTGTTACACTTCAAATGTTTCTAATACATACAACAAGACAGTCTTCGTCTAGAAAAGTATGACTGGGAAAATAGCAGATATAAGGTTTTGGAATTTCTTTTTTGATCTTCATTCAGAGTCAGCTGTTACCCCCAAGTATTTGGAAATGCTTGCCAGCCCGGGTTTCCAGTGGCTTGACAGGCCGTGGCCATTATTTTACCATATTTATTTATCTGCCAAAGGTCCCAGCAGCACTCTTACAGGAGGTGATAGATCTCCAGATTGCTACATTCTTTCTGTGAATATTAGTAGCAACCTAAACATCTGTTCCCAGATGTTCCAGTGTCCCATGGCGCACACTACATCATTATCTCAGTAAGGAAACTATTTCCTGCAATGTGTCCACTTAACCAGTAAAGACAATGGAAAGAGCAATTCACTTTAAATTCTGCCTTTTGAACAATATGAATTCTGTGTCTAAAATAAGCTCTACCAAGTTGCAAACAACCTTAACACATAAATACAATTCTCCAAATCTTTATGGAACACTGTATTTCAGGTTTTGTCTTACGTGATCTTATTTGCCTTTTTCTGTGTGGGCTTTAGGAAAGAAGATTAGAAAAATAAATCGATTAAATGGAACATTTACAGTTCTGTTTCTATACAAAGAAAATAGGGGGGGACTACACAGGTTCCCCAATCAGTGAAGCTTTAATTCTCTTCTATATCCCTTAGTGCAAAGTCTAGATGCTAGGAAATCACGGACAAGATATTCCAGCATATCATTAAACCACATGTTTCCCCAACATTGTAGAATCAATATTTTGATAGAAGTTGGTCAATATATGTTGAGGGATAACTGTTTACTAGAAACACTGTTTATTTGAATTTTTTTGAAAAGGCTATATAAATCCTATTCATCATTAATTTCTGAGTTACATTTCCTTTCTTCCTATTCCCTTCTCCATAACAAAAGAATCACAAATCTAAAGTTAAATGAACAAAAACTAATTTTAGAACTTTTTTTTAAAACAGAACACTATAAATGTCTATCAATATTTGTGCTTTACTATTATTGCTAATGTTCTGCCACATTGGTCTTCTTTTAGTATTCAGTGAGGGCTGGGCACTGAGCATCCTAGATTTTTAAGAAAAAGGAATGTGAAAAGTTTTGAGAAAAAAAGCAAAACAAGAAGGAATCTATGTTATGAGTTGTCTAGGGTTATGGATTATATTTAAATTAGATAGTGCAACACTTAAATCCAAGAAATGTATTCTCTGTCCACTCTATCAAACTAATAATGAGATGCAATGAACCCTGAGCAAGAATTAAAAAGGTTTCCTTTTATGTTTTTTTCAGGTGTGGCCCTTTACACTCACTCCTTTGCTAATTTCTTTCCATGGAAAATTCAGTACGAACAATCTAGGGGCACTTGGGGAGTGGACATAAGTTCCACAAGCTCTAAGACAGAAGTCCACATAAAAGTCACATTCTGAACACCATCCAAAAGATACCAGCATTTCAGAACATTCAGAGTGAAATAAATACGCCAGTGCTTTAGAAATGATCTATAAAGCAAGCCTGGGGGTGGGCATCACAAAGACACATAGTAACATGAAAACAGTTTTGGCAACACTTGCCAAATGAACAAAGACCACAAGAGCATTCATTGTCCTCTAGATCTCATTTGGTTTTCTTGCTGTCACAGTCCAACATATAATTAAAGATACCTGATTTTCATTGAGTACCCACTAGAGAAAGAGCTAACTTGGGCTAAATCTAAATCTAACAGTAGGGTATGACATTTACAGGTCCTTTCACCCATTCTAAAGAAAGTATGGAAGCTTATGGAGTATTTACATCCTAGCTTTAACTCTGATGCCTTAGTAATAGGAGAAACACTTTCAGATTTATTAATGTGTAGCAAAATGACTCGGATAGGCAACTGAAGGTATATCATTGTCCTATCTCTGAATCATTCAAATTTTCTCTTATGATACTTACTTCTGACTAGTTCACCATCTGAAGGATTTCCCCAAACAGACTGGTCCCGCATCAGTCCATACTTGGAGTGGCTACTGGTGGCTTGACTTACATCTTTCTCAGTATTGCCCTCATGACATTTCTCTGAAAAACATTAAACATTTATTATCATTTGATGAATGCTACATGCATTTATGTATTTTTTTTCTTTTCAGTTTTGCTGTTATTTGAGGGTTTTTGTTGGTTTTGTTTGCTTGTTTGCTTTTCGTTTGTTTGAGACAGTAAGTAGCTTATAAAGCAGAGGCCTGGAATTCACTATGTAGTAGATGATGGCCTCCTGACCTTTCTACCACTACCCCTCAACTGCTGGAATCACAGGTGTGCACTACCAAATAAGGATTAAAATTTTCTTACTGCTTCTAAGTCTGTCATAGCTTAAGGAAATAGAATTATACTATTACTGACTTTTGCATATATTTTTGGCTCAATAATATTTGTTGGACACCTACTATCATTAAAGAAAGGCTCGCAATAAACTAAAATCTGTCAGAACTGTAGTAAATAAATTTTAGCATGGCAAGTGATCTTTCATCATAGAGAAATGTAGAAAGGTTACATCAAGGATAAGGGTGAGTCCACAGAGATAGCGGGCAGGTGAGACAGAAAAAGCATCAAAGAAGAGACTGCAAATGATTGATGGAGATGAAAGCCAGACCACAACTGAAATGAGAAGTGATTGGGCTGTCAGGATACAGGAAACAAGTACAGAGTCCTCTCTCTGTAGAAACTGAAGAAAAAGTCAAAGGGTGCACAATGCTTCCTCAGAGATGGAAGTATTAAGGATGAGAGGTTGATGTGTAGGATTATGAGTCCTCGGTGGAAACATAACATGTAAGGAAATGGGATGCCTTGTTGGGAGCAGGAGTCAAGCAACACACAACCTATAACACAAGGCAGGATGCATGCTATGAAGGGTCCAGAAGAACTAAAGGGGTTCAAAAGAAAAGAGGAAAAAAACTCATCAGGATTCAGAGATCAAGAAAGACACTTTAGAGAAAGGAGCACATTGAATGGTTCCTAAAAGATTAGAAGAACTTCAAAAGTCACATGGGAGAAAGGTAGAAGAACAGCATGGGAAAACTCAAAAGCAGACACTTGGCCAAAGGTCCCAGATCAGGGCTGTGAACTGATTTCAGAGGGATGGGAGGTAAGACTGTTAGGTTCTCATGGAGCCATAACATGGATATTTTAATGCCAACTGGGGAAGTCTGGATGTAATTCAAAACCAAGATGAACAAATCAAAGTAACCAATGAAGCTTTTTGAAATGCCTACGCAAAGCTACATATTAAGGAGAGTCGAAAACAGATACATCTGTGTTTCTCCATCCAAATTGTCTAGAAAACATTTTTGAAAAAGCAGATTCTTAGTCCACAATGAATAATTCTATTTCATCTGAGTGATAAGGGTCTATTCTTAGGGTGGTCTACTGTTCCTGTATCCTTCAAATGTTCACTTGACATCTGAGGAGGGGGCTAAGAAAAGGGTAAAGAGGAGAAGAAAAAACAGGGGTCAGAAAGAGACAAAGAGAGACAGAGACCAAGACTGTTGCATCTGAATGCTAGCTACCCTCTTAAGTTAAGGTGTGTTTAGACATGAGCTGATGGAGCTACATAAAAAAGGTTCTGAAAACCATTATGAAATGTTACAAGGTTGAGCCTCATTGGAAAAAAAAATGGGTAACTTGAGGCTTCATAATATGTCCCATCTATCACTCCCTCTTTGCTTCCTGAGTGCAGATAAAATGTAGCTAGGCAGCTTCCTGTTTCTGCCACAGGGCTTGCTCTGCCTGCTGCCATCTGTCATCCCACACTATGTGGGACTGTATTTCTCCAAAAGAAACCTTTTCTCCCTTAAGATGTCTTTGTCCATGTACTTTATCATAGCAACAGAAAGAGAACTAGTACAGACCCTGAAGGGGAGACTAGCAAAGTTCAAATAGACACTGATGAGTTTCACTGAATGGCATAACAGACAAGGTGGCAGATGTGAGAAATTAAGCAAGGTATGCAGAGATAAATAGACGATGTTGGGAATAACCAAATTTTTAATCTGAGTTGATGGTAAAAGATTGGAAAGATGGGAGAATAACATATCCATTACGTACACAGAATACATATGGTGAATTCAAATGTTTTTTTCATTTCACTGGGTGATGTCCATTCCTTGAAAGATAACATATTCATTACCCAGCCTTCATGCAGTTAATAGTCTAGGTGATAAGCTCAATACTGAGTATCTGAATGGCAAACAGCAAAGAAAATATAGCTAGTCTGTAGGGAGTGGGTGAAGTCCTGAGTAAATGTGCATTTCAGGACATGAGCCAGTCATGTCAAGAACCAATGCCCAGACCCATGGGGAATTGGCACATTCCATGCTAGGTGAGGCTCAGAGAGAATGTTCAGTGTCTGCAGTAATATATGCAATTACCTCCTCCTTTATCAGACTGCTCTCCTAGGAAGACTCCTTCTAGTGAGATCAGCTACACCTGCCTCCAGGATTCAGCTGCTTACCATAAACCCACCTAGCCTCCATGCTCAACCCTCTATAATAAACATGGGCTTCCAGGGTACTCTGGCTTCTCCATCAGAGAGCTCAGTGCACGGGATCCTGGCCGTTCTGTGTGCCCATGTGTTTTGTCTTTTCGTCATTCTCTTGCTGCCCTGTTCAGGTCAATCCCTGGAGCCATGCTGGACCCACACTAGGCATCTTCTTAAACTCCCATTGCTGAAGCACTTCTAGTTACTGAGATCATCAGAAGGGAGAAGCTATTTAAAAAGAGTCTCTAGCATTAGGAAGCACTCAGAGAAACTACATGGTGTCAATCTATGTAGGCAAAGCCATAAAAGACTCACACAGAAGTATTTAGTCTTTATAACATTTACAGTAGAAGGAACACATGTCTACACATGCAAAAAAATCTCATGTATTGTAGAGATTTCACAACAAGTTAACAACTCTGCCACAAAACATATTTCAACACATGAAAAATTGAAAATAGATGGATATAAATTGAGGACTAAATCTAGAGGCTAACATTGCTATAAAAAAAAAAAGGCCTTCAATGCTAAACATTTTTAGACTATAAAACCATATTCAAACACCAGTAAAATATAAATTAAAAGCATGTTAAACCAATATGTTCTAGATTTATGTAACATTTACTCAGCATTATCACAGGGAAAATGTAATCTTCAAAAGATGTGTTAGTTTCAATTAAAATCTTAACTTTCTTAAACAACTCAAGAACTCAGAATTCTTTACTGCTATAGTCAACTCAGGCCTTCCGGAGATTATCAGGAAAAAAAAAAAAAAAAAAAAAGATTTTCTACAACCTCACTAGTAAGTATACATGAACTGGCTTATCAGCAGTCCTACATACTCATACTGTTACATAGCTGACTGCCGCCAGGTGTCATGCTAGTAGGCTTGATTCAATTAGTAACTTTAATTGAAGCTGAATGAAATTAATTATATAATTTTGAGCTGTTCAAGTTTAATTCCATTAGAATTAATTCATGAAACCAAGGCATTATGAAGCATTGCTGACTAAAAGAAAATAGGTATGAATAAAGCCTCTAGACACACTTGACGCATATTTGAATCCTGTCCAATATTCGAGTGCTAAGCACAGACCCTCTCGACTCCTTGCTGAATAAATGGCAACGCCACGTGGTCCATATACACATGGATTTACAATGATGTAACCTCCTGCCCAGTGGTGGTGGTAGGGGTAGAGTCATTCCTATCCCACATTCTTGTTAAGAGATGGGTTTTTTTTTTTTGGGTTTTTTTTTTTTTTTTCTTTAAGGATTTCTTTTGTATCTGGAAATTCTAGAATGGGATGATCCCAAATGTCCTGAAGTTAAAAAAGGAAAAGATAAATTACCACTGTGTGTCTCGTGATATAAGTAATACATTCTGCACAGTTCCTAAGACATCATAATCACCAGTGTATCAAACTTTGCCTCCTTTGAAAACTAAATATCTTGCCTTGAAAGCTGGTCCCTAGTGCATCCTGCAATGACCCATTGCACCCAGTTCAAGGCAAGGCCCAGGAAAGGTTCCCAGTAGAATCTTAAATGGTCTTCAGCTAATTCTTTACTTGGATAAACTAAAGTTCTGTCTCCAGGCTGTTAAAGCATGTACACCATTTCTCTGTATTAGTTTACATTTATTTCCTCAGATTAATGAAAGGATAGATATTGGCCTCTAAAATAGTGGGTATTACAGGCATCATTGAAGAAATGGAAGGATGAGAGAAAGAGGGATTCACTGACAGATAGTCATGTGTGTTAGGGGAAACAACATTCAAACAAAATCAACTTTTCAACTGGGTGTGTTAGCCTCTCTTCCTTGAAATGATAAAAATATCTACTAGCAGATAACTGTTACCAGTGTAGGCTTGCTGTGTCACTCCTGCCTTGGAAAGCCAAATGTTGACATAGTTGTATTCTGCACATATGAAGATCTGTGGTTGCAACTGAGCTACTATGTGTGGGCCTAGTGTGTAGATCACCAGCACCAAGCCATTTCCCTAGCATAGGACCTTGTTTGTACTTAGCTGTAAGATTTAACAAGCATAATCAATGGGCTCTTCTCCCCTGTGTAGTGTCCTCCTAAGCCATGGCTTTTGCTTATGGTGCTGAGTCAGAACCATGTATAAAACTCTGGCCACATACAGATTCACAGACTCCCAACCTTAGAGGATCTAGTCCAGGTGGCCTTGGTGGATGGAAGATTGATATCAAAATGAAATGCGGCCAAGCTGGGCAGATAAGAAGATCCATATCTTATTACTCATCTCTTCATCACAAGATTCCAAGGAATAAAATAAATCAAGTAATTATCTAATAAACACATCTAGGGCTGGAGAGATGGCTCAGAGGATAAGAGTCACTGGATGCTCTTTCAGAGGACCCAGGGTCAATTCCCAGCACTTACATGTCAGCTCACAACTGCCTGTGACTCCAGTTCTAGGGGATCTGACACCCTCATACCAATTCACATAAAATAAAATTAAATAATTAACACATTTGTATTTAGTTATACTTCCTTGTCAGGACAAGTATGAAATTACAAAAT